TAGGGAAACGGAAGGCTGCAATGAATGCTTGGTGCATGCTTACACAAGCTCTGAAGTGCGCAATTTGCCCATACCGCAGTTCACCTTCCTCACCAGAATCTTGTGCAGCTGAGGAGTACTTCATGAACAGTGCTACTGTAGCACTGACAGGCAGAACTGAGCCTGGGACCTCTGGCGCTTACTGCATTAGCCTCTACACAGGGGTCTCCAACCTTTTTAAGCACGAGATCACTTTTGAATTTAAGTGCAATCCAAGATCTACCTCATACCCAAATCTCCTGGCCCCGCCTCCTTGTGCCCCTTCTCCAAGGCCCCGCCCCTGCTTATTCCATTCGCCATCCCTCCCCCATCCTCCCTCCCTTTCACCTGGCAGGGGCAGAAGGTTGGGGCGCAGGCTCTAGTCTTGGATGAAGGGATTTGGAGTGCGAGAGGGGCTCTGAGCTGAGCTTGGGTTGCTGGAGGAGGTTCTAGGTGCAGGCTCTGAGAGGGTGTTTGGATGCAGAGTTGCTCAGGCAGGGACTTGGGGTGCAGGAGGGGTTCATGACTGGGGCAGGAGATCAGAGCTGGCTCCAGCTGTCCTCAGATGGCTCCTGAGTGGGGGTGCCGTGGGGCTAAGACAGGCTCCCCCCTGCCCTAGCCCAGCACCACTCCCAAAAAGAGCCAGCAAACTTCATCCCAAGTCCTGTTGTGCCCCCCGCTTTGCTCTGTGGAGATAGGAGAGAAGGTGGGAGAGGGGGCACCTTGACATCAGTGCCCCACTTCTCCCTCCCCTGCTCTGCACAGGGCTGGGGGAGGCAGCTCCAAGGCAAAGGGCAGGAGATGTGCAGCAGTAGGGGGAGGGGCAGCTGAAGAGCTGGCACTTGATAGCCTCTTGGCCAAAACAGTCAGGATCATCTGTCAAAGGCTCTAAATTCTACCAGTAGATCCCAATCCACTGGTTGGTGACCTCTGTCTTAGGGTATGTCTAAACAGCTAAGGTTGTAGAGCAAACTCATTTTCTCTCGCTGTAAGTGGTCTAAGTGCCACTAGATGGCAGTGACCCAAGCCCAGTGGGCAGGTGTGTTACACTAGGTAGTAATAGAAATGTAGCCGTATTAGTCTGGTGTAGGTGAAACAAAATACAGGCCTATGTAGCACTTTAAAGACTAAAAAGATGGTTTATTCGGTGATGAGCTATTTGATCTGAGGAAGTGGGTCTGGCCCACGAAAGCTCATCACCTAATAAACCATCTTGTTAGTCTTTAAAGTGCTAATGGTCCTGCTTTTTGCTTTAGACTGTTAGGTGTCAGTGCTGTCAATGCTAACAAGCATTAACTAAGAGATACAGTAATTCCTCATTTAACACTATACATGCGTTTCTGAAAATGTTCATGTTAAGTGAAAACGTGTTATGCGGGGTCAATTTTCCCATTGAAAATAATGGAAAAGGTGGGGGTTGCGTTTGCGGCGCCAGCCTGCACTTGTTAGCAGCTGGGACCGGGTCATAAGGTTGGGGGAGAAAGTGGACTAGGGAGGTGTTTGTCTTGGGAGAAGGGAAGGGGAGGACAGGGGAGAGGGCTTGCAGCCAGCGGCTGGGTTTCCCCAGCTGGCCAGTTGCTGGCAACTGCGCGGGGCTTCCCCTGCTTCCTTGCATT